TAAAAATTCTATATCTTACTCGTCAAGTACCGTCATTATAGACACAATTATAGAACAATAGGTTGCGGTCACTGGTGACCGCTTGGTGTTTGACAATTTAACTCGTCGAGTACCGGTTTTGTAAACACAATTATAGAATCTTTAATTGTGTCTATAATGACGGTGCTCGACGAGTTAAAGAAATTCATAATTATGTTTTTCGGCTAACTCACGTATTGATCGACGAGGCACTCGATTAGTTTATAAAATAGATTAGAATAACCGTAAGGTAGTAAAAATACGACTCGTTATGCAAAAATCGACCAAAAACATATACCATCTTTATTAATAACTACCCAACAAACAAACAGTCATGTTATGTAAAATCCGCCCCAGTTCGCCACAGCTCTCCAACGGCTGTGTCCAGTTTCATCAGCGAAGTCATAAATATTCCATATTATTGTACCCTCGTGTGACATACCGACGAATGGACGAAACAAGGACAGGACATAAGTTACTTATGTTTATAATTTGTGAATGTAACATAACGTTACTTTCAATTCCCGACGGGGTAGACAGAGGTGAGTGAGATAGTAATCATTTTGGCTAGATAAAACTAAATCGGTAAGACGACTGGGCTGGTCAGTGGTCCAGGCTGGATGCAAACTGCTCTAGATAGAAACAAATGCGTTTGTTTGGAGGAGGCCTTCACCCGCAGAGAAGTTCTTATATATATATATATAATAAATAGTGTACTAACTGTAGTTTTTATTTATTAGTTATAAATACCTCCGGCTCGACCGGAGTGACACCACGGCCTCACAAAACAAAACTGACGTGAAGCAACGCTTGCGTTGTGTTTCGTCGTGTGAGTGAGGCTACCGAAGGTTCATTTACCCCCCTCCCGTTCCCCAATCCCAGAATCCCCAACGATCCTCAAACTCCAAATCCCCAAAAGGCCGGTAACGCACTTGTAACGCCTCTGGTGTTCCAGGTGTCCATTAGCGACGCCGATTGCTTACCATCAGGTGATCCGTCTGCTCGTTTACCGGCTTTATGCCATAGAAAAAGGTCAAGGTTGTCAAAAAACTTAAAAATCTCCAACCCTCATTCTATAGGACATTGTAACTTCCACGACCCTCGTTGTCTCCAGAACCTTCCATCACCTGTGACATTTTCTTCCGGACAATGTTCCAGTACTTAGTTCATGATTTACAGGAGTTTCCACCGTACTTCCCACTCCTGGAACTATAAAACTGTCAACTGTTTAGAACAGGACTTGAACTGGGAACATTTTGCCGCTCTTTAACTTGATTTATTTTATACAGGGTGTTAAAACTTCTGTGGATAAAAGTTGCTGTTTAGAGGATTGCGACTTTGTTTCTGTTTTTACAAGCTTTATTTATTTAATTGGCTATGTATTTCAAAGTCAAAGTCAAAGTCAAAGCATTTATTTCAATTAAACCATAGTTTGGTACTTTTGAAACGTCAACAAATACAAAATAAATAATAGTCTGTCAGTCAGTCCGTCAGTGAAGCTAGGTGAAGCTAGGTGCTCATTCCAAAACGTAGATTCGAATGGAGAAGAACGAGCAAGAAACTCAATTCGTTACTCTTTTAAAAAAGTATGTTCTACAATGTCTCTGATACATATTTCAATACTGTACGCATATGTAAGAACAATGCAAAGACACGCTTGACGCATTATACTAATAACTTACTAAAATAAAAATAAAAATAATAAAGATCTTAAGTCCAACATGGTGCTCACATATGCATACTGACAACGTATGTATGAATGTGTGTATTATTAGTAGAAGTGGAAGGAGATCATTTCGGTTCTATATATTTTTGGGCCTCTTCTGAAAATGGCCAACAAAAATAATGGTTCATATCGTTAGTACTAGTCCCTAGTTATTATGGCGTAAAAGTATTAGAATTCGAGATGAAGAAGTAATACCAGTTCAAATATCCATAATTTTCATACATTTATTGCTTTCTAAAGGTGCTAGGAAACGCAAAATAATGATCAATATTGTTAGAATAATGAAACTGAGGCAATAGAGTAGATGCCTAATTTTTATTTTAATGTCCGTCTGGTAGATTATTTTAAAACATAAGACACGTATTTTTTATTTTCTTACAGAAACGAATACTTTCGACGATATATTGATTTGAAATGTCGCGTGACGTCACTTCTATGTACATTTTATACGTAGAAATGACGTGTTAGCCCACACTCCTAAACTTTGATTTGTTTTATCTAAGTATTGTTTTATTATACGACAAAATAAAAGAACACGGGTCTAATAATTTTTCATTACCTAACTTACGGAGTAATTACATTTTTAATTTTCGTACCCGGTCATCATCCCAATAAATTGTAATGATAATCCAAAAAATTATATCATTTTTAGCCGTGCCTTTTTTCTTACGATTCGATAGCTAAATCAGTTTTTGAAATATTAATTTAATGTGAAAAGTACTAAATTAGTCAATTTGACTCACAATTTCGCAAAATTATTTACCTATACATAAATACTACGCAGACCTCCATAACCATACCGCTAAACTAGCTAAAAACCAAGTTTATTACCTTTCCAAAATAACACCAACGAAATACCCAATAACGTCAACGTAAATTGAAAATCACACGCCCAATAAAGCAATCAAACCATTTATGAACTCCGAAATTGATTTAAAATTCACGCTAGAGGTCGCTTTAACGATGTATATGTCAGTCATAAATCCCTTGTGGCTATTCCAACATTACTGGCCACCACGTGAGATATTCCTGTCTCTCATTCCATTACTGCATTTGTTAGATAAACCGTGAAATGGTATGTGGGAATGCGGTAATGGAATTTGGTGTTGCGATGTACTCGGGTACGTGGGGCTTGAAATGGAACGGTGATAAATGATGCTTAGTAATTACGAGTGCTGTTGCGGTTTGGATATGCAATTTTGTGCTCTATGGTTTTTGTAATAAAAGTTCAGTTTGTTTATAGCTTGTGAGGATGAAGAGGAGGTTACCAAAACCAGAGAAGACACAAGAGCGTTCTCCTGAATTCTTTACTGTTGAGGGTTATCAGAAGACGCATCTGCTTACTTACCGCCCTGACAATATCTTTGACCTATTTATATAAAAAAGCTAATTAATAGGCTCCATGTCAGTAGGTCTGTTCTGATAGATATATAAAAAATATTTTCTTCAAATTATAAATATTGCAATTCGAGACTCCAAGTCAAATTATGTTTAACAGCTACACTTATGAACTCACTATTACTAAGATTTATTTATATATTTACACATAACATACAAATATCCTTATAGGCCTTAGACCCAATGCGATATTGAAGCAAATATTAAAATAACAATAATAATCAAAATATATAAACAAGAAATACTTATATACACTATAAAATATCCTTACTATCCTTACTATTATAAATCCTTATACTATTATAAATGGGAAAGTGAGTTTGTTTGTTTGTTCCAACTTCACGCCGTAACTACTAAACCGATTGCATTGAATTTTTGCAGACGTAAAGTAAGTAGTCTGGATTAAATAATAGGGTACTTTTTATCCCGAAAAAATTTGATATTCCCGAGGGAAAAAAAAAGTATTGGCATAGATGGCGCTGTATGTATTGGTATATGTCACATAGACTAATTTTTATCCTTTTGTGACGCGAGCGAAGCCGCGGGTAAAAGCTAGTTATAATTATAATAAGTTACTTCTACTGCTTTTACTATACCTTGTATAGTATATCCTATGCATGGCTGCTCGTGTAAATTCCCCTAAAGAGTGACAGAATAATAAGATAATTGCAAACAAAAATTATTATTTTTTTAACCTTTTGAATGTATGAATGCACTGATATAAGACGCAATAGAAAATACATTGGGTCTTGCCTGGTTCCACGTCTTAGACACACGAAAAGTTAAGGACGAATTCTCGATCATCAGTTAATTCTTAACTGTAGAAATAAATTGACATTTGACAGTTCTTAGTATGGGAGAAATGTCAAATATTCAAAGTTATTGCTCTGTTTAAATTTATCTGGCGTTGAAAAAATCCCTGC